GGGCCCAAGCGTCTAGATGTTCTTGTAACAATGCCCTACACATTCTCCGCAATCGCATTCTGTCAAGGTGGAGGAAGATGACGACGATGAGAACTTACCTATATCAATGCATTTTGTGAGTTGCACCCGCTTATGTGTTGCTTTGTTACTCATATCCCACTACCTGCAGGAACGAGACTCAGCTGAGTCCAGTTTGTTTGATCAACCAGCAGAAGAAGAAGACTCTGACCTTGCGCTCGAGGCTGCCCAGGCCAAACGCAAAGTGTGTCAAGCTCAAAAATACTTGGCCGACTGCCTTTTGGAACAATATAAAATACTTATCCATATCTCCCACTGCTGGGCAGAAGCTGCAAACCAGCATCTATTATTGGCTGACCTCAACGTCGGACACATGCACTCAGAGCGCCAGAGGAAAAGCGGTATCACAATGTTTACTATTTGAGCGTGACACTGAGTAGTAAGTATGTTTTTATTTCATAGTACCACTGTTATTAATAAAATGAAAATGTTATTATAGACCATGTAGCATAGTAAATAGGCAAAATTCTCGCTGCACATATGTATACAAACTCGCTAGTGTTAATTATGTTTTCTACAAGTGCCACAGTGTGTTACAGTTTGTGTCGCTTGTGCCGCTTGTACAGTGTGTGAGCTTGTGGGCTTGTACTTGCTTGTGCCGCTGTGAGCTTGTAAGCAGACTTATGGTCATTTGTTTGTGATGTCTGTGGGACCTGTGATCCTTGTACGGAATTGTGCGGATTTGTCAAGCGTGTGGGAATTGTGACGAAATCAATAGTTTGCTGATGAGTCAGGTCGTATGTCGGTTAAATCAGGGAAAATTCAAGTTTCCTGATGCTGCGGCAAGTTGCGGCAGGGTGCGGCAAAATACCTGAGCCCTAGTTACTAACATATGTTGCCACGTAAATGAGTAATCGAAACACTTGCCAGTATGCACAACATACAGTTACACACTACCTGAGCAAACATTAATACTCGGGCTTGAATGGCGGTAGGGAAAGATATGCTTACTTTGTACACCTAGTGATCCCAGTCGTTTTGTTCTTTACACAGCAATCACTGCAACCACACGCGACGTATCCTTCAATTGTCCCACTGAATCCGCACCAACCCGCGTAAGGCCACCCGTTGTTAGATCCTGGGACATATCCACACATATATATACCTGTGGATAACCGTAATAAGTACGCAGCCTGCACGTAGTAAGCTGCAAAAGTGCCTACCCTTGGGCGAGCACCCGAAGCCCAAGGGTGGAGTTTTATCTGAATTAGACGCGATAGCTACGCCAGCCATCGCTGCGGCAGATATGACAATATTGGTGAGTGAAGTGAATTTCATAGTTCATAGTGTTTTCTGGGCTGCGTAGGTTGGCTTTTATACGCGATCAGGTAAATGCTTTCATGCGCTCGCATCGCCGGATATTCCAGCTCATGCCCTGTTGCATAGTTTTCTTCTACTTGTGAAATGCGCTTGATTCTTTACTCATTCTAAATCAGTTTATCCATCGTTGTTCAGGATGCGGCACCACGGCGGGCGTACAGACTATGTGCAAGGCTATTGCTAGGTATTTCTCAGAAGTGTCGTTGCTCATCAATTATTCGAATCTAATCATCCTAGTTCCTAGCAGGATTCTGTCGATCTAAGATTTTACTTTCTTTGTTTTTGGTCCCTCCTCCCTCAGAAACAAGTCAAAGGCGGTGAACTTTGCCTGGCCCTGCGTGACTTACTAGTATGGATAGCTTCTTGCCGTAGGCTAAACAATACAGATTGTCACACACCAAAGCACGAGAATAATTATGAAAATTATGAGGTATCAGGATATCCATATCTACAATATCTCCAACATTGTCCTAACATCCATCACGTCGTAAATGGAACCATGTTCTTCAGGGGGAAGTTCGTCATGTAAATCCTCAAGATATTCACCGGACGGCGAATACCGAACACTGCGGATTTCAGTCTCACAATTGATTGGATTTCCTTGAACCTGCCATGTTTTTGTGTTCCAGAGCTCCACGGTGGTATCCAATGAACCACTCGCCAGAAATGTGCTATCTGGGGAAAAGTCGAGCGAGAAAACCTTGTTGAAGTGGACTCTGATGGGTTGGGTGAGGGATTCGCCATCTTTGTTCCAGGCCGCGATGAGCTCTCCGCCAAAATCACCACTCGCTATGAATTGCCCGTCTCTTGATACTGCAGCTACTCGTATGCCGAAGCGATGCCCCTGCATTACCTTCAATACGACACCGTCTTCTATATCCCATAGACGAAGGGTCTTGTCGTACGAGGCCGTCACCATACGGCGTCTATCGGGGAATACTACAACTGCAAAGATACTATGCCTATGACCTTCAAATATCCGACTAGCCGTGGTGATCCGGATGGCAGGATGTTCTGCTTCTGTCATTCTCGAGGTGGATGGTATGGTGAGCGCGACTTGTTGGCGAGCTTGTGAGAGTCTCGATCTAAGACGTGCCTGTACCGGGCCTTTTTGTGCTTCTTCACAGCCTCAACCTTAGATGCCAAGGACACGGGGCACTCAGACCGCTGCGATCTGTTATCGAGAACTTTTGAATTCACTGATGCGTACATCCCATAGCTGTACCGAGGAAATATCCCCATGAATATAAACCAAGATGATAACTTGGTAAATATAAAACTTCCCCTCTAAACTTGAAGGTTCTGACTATCTGGACAATGAAAAAGAATATTCTTGTGTTTTGCGGCCTACCTACATATACACTGATCATATCTGAGATACCATCCCAAGGGGACGACGACGGTCATCAGAGTCAATGGAATGCTCCGCAGTATGAAGTAGAGATACATATGTGAGCTTGATGTAACTTGGTCAGACCACCCGCGAATAACCGTCACACCAAAAGGTGGAATACTGAACACTTAGCTTTCAGTATCAGCGACGGTATATGCACTAATTATGAGAACTTTTCTTCATGGCGCCGTTGAGATTATGTGGCTTTCCTGACTTATGCGAGTCACCTGACGTCGTCGATGCAAGATGACTCTGACCCTAGAGTTCCAGATAACGTTGGTAAGGGACGCTGCATAGTCAAGCATGCGGTGCGAAGTCGGTGCGACACCCTACTCTATTGGTGTGATGACTTAAAGGCAGGAAACTCGTGCATCGTAGGAGACTGGTTACAGATAAGTCCACCCTATGACAGTGAAGTATGCGTTGGGGGGATCCTGCGTACAATGTACTGAATGCGACGTGCCCAGTGGACTAGGAAATCGAAAAGAGAGTTATCATCCTCATGAGCCACCCGGTAACGCAATTTCCATTGGCTGAAGCCCTGGCGTAGGACCTGGAATCGAGAAAAAACCTCGTCCATATTCGGACGTTGTGCTGGATCGGTGTGCATCATGTCCGATACCAGACCGCTAAGGAACTCCACACCTGAGTAGCGCTGTTTTCCACAAATCAGAACGTGAAAAATGAGAAGTCATTATTCCACTTTACATCGAGAAACGTTTCTTGGATAGCATGTCCAAGATACCAAACGTCAGTTGGAAAAGGATTTCGAGGCTTAAAATTGTCTTCCTTGAACTCGGGCACGTCTTTATCTCCACCGAAGATAGGGACTTCTAATGGGTTGGTGTTAGACGCCTCATACTTGCGGGAAATACCAAAGTCTATGTAGTAATATCGTGGCGGAGACTGCGTGCGCGTACGATGCCTGGCTGCGCGTTTGAGGTCTTCTGACATGTATTGCTCGCTTGGATGCCACGCATCTATGAACATGCTGCCGTCCATCAGTATATTCAGTTGCATACAGTCCCTTTATTTACGTCATGAGACACGGTATCCGAGCAGCTTGAATACATACCTGTGAGCAACGTGGTGCCTGTGCATAAAGAGCAGTCCCTTCAAGTGAGAGAGAAATAGTTATGAAAAGCGCAAGTCAGTGAATAAAGACCTTACTTCGAAAAGCTGGTGGATGCAGTCTATGACTTCGCCAACGGTGTCAAAATAGGGATCCGTAGCATTTCGAAGTAACGGCATGACCATGATCATAAGATGTTCGGCACCAGGGACCTCCAGAACGTCGTAAATTGGTACACAATGGTTGGCTGGATCTTCGCTGAGAGGTGAGCTGCAAAAATAGCGACCGATCTCTATCTCATGAGGATGTCGCGACACGTCAATACATTTAAGTAATACGCGAGCGCCGTCTCGAATGCGCCGTGCATCCAGTAGAAGATAATGCTAAAAGATTTATGGTAGTCGAGCAATACTGCTAAGAACGAAGCACCCACTGGTGACGAAATTCCATCCTCGCAATTTATGTCAATTTTGTTGGTATTCGTCCAAGACGGCACCCAATCCGGATTGTAGCGACTACGAAGCTTGTAGCCTTTTTCTTCGAGAAAGTTGTAGTGGTCCCTCCACCAAATCTCGAATTCAGCAAGATGTGAATGGGCAGCAGAGTTGGAGGTCATCTGATTGAGCTGTAATTAGTATGTCAAAGCGAGAGAATAAATATGTACCCACAAGTAACTTGGTAATTCGGACCCCGGCAGATCGCGGACTTCAAACTTACGTCCCATCGTGACCCGGGCTATTATTCAAAGCGTGTCACAAAGTAGTCTCGCTTGATCTGGCAGCACACCGAGTCAACGACCCGCATCTACCCTGATAGGAAACTTTTATCCCAACGACGAAGATATTCTACTGGGTTCGCCGTTGTTCCATCTATTACAATAATCACTTATGAGTCTTTGAAGGATCATGACTCGGATGTTCATGATTTTCAAGGGTCAACATTGTAGGCTCAGCTAGGCGGCTCAAGCGCCAAATAGTCATTTTTGTCCATCACCGGCAGCTGCCATTGCCATGTTCCCATAACCTGTCTGCTTCGTTATTTATCCCGCATATCTGGACTTTACCATCTTTGTAGTTAACTAAGCCAGCTCAAGGCGCGACACACTCCACCAGTTCCCGTCATTTTTCATTCTAACCAATGGATCCCCCAAAATCTTCAACAACATTTCGGATCACTACTCCCTTGGGTCCTGCGGGCCAATTTGCGAACTCCCCCATGACCGTTATCGAGCTTAAGGGCCGAACAAATCACGAAAAGGGAGAACACTATCTACAATTATCGCTGTCAGCACTGCGAGAGCTAGCCGACCTATTGGAAAACGATCGCCTTTCACCAACTGAGAAAGCTATCTACAATCGAGCTTATACCACCGGCCAGCGTCAATACGACGAGTAGGCTTTATCATCCAGCCAAAAGGCCTCACTCATTGACGCCCACAGAGTGAAACGAATTAGAGACCAACTTTTGACGCAGAAGAAAACCTTTCGCAAGTTCCTTATTAACCTTTTCGTCCGCACGGATGCCCGCCGGTTCTATAAAGTCTCATATGAAACTTATTCAAGCATCAGAGTAAGTTGAGTAGCTGGACTACAGACATCTCAGAATAGCAGTTGAATAAAAACACAGCGAACTTCAGAAGACCTGACTAGACGATTGCTGCCAGATAAGAGTGTTATCTCTGGTATGACAGAAGGAAATCGCCTTTTCCCCTGCTAACTCCGATCTACTAAACAGTATCAGAGAGTCCCGGAGAGAAACCCTCGGAAGGCCATGTCTCTGTTTGTGAGGAGAATCCACGCGAAGTAGCCGAAGGTATGTATCATCTCCGCATTCTATAACACAATACTAAGCATATCTCGCCAAAGGCAGTCTTCCAGGTTGGTGCAATTATTCTTTCTCTTCGACCACTTATCACATGCAGTGGATCAGTCGCCGATCTTCCTCCAGACGAAACCATCAAAGGCATAACTGTGGAGGTACATAATAAAGAAGAAGAGCAAGAGGTCTTTGCGAACTTGAAGCGAATAACGAATTGTAGAAAAGCAGACGAAAACGAAGAAGAAGAAGAAGATGATGATCGAACCAGTATGTTTTCAAAATCATCACCCATGATATAATTGAACAGGTTCTCAGTTAAACCCACGCCCTCACAAAGTAGACCGCCATCTCCTAGCCCCAGCTGCACGGTCATCTGGAATAATTATTACATCAACCAAAGCGTAGCATCCTTTGATTCAGAATTGAGAGGAACGACTTTGAATATCGGGGTAGATGGAGGTTTGTCGCGTTTGCTGCCAATATCATCATGTAATATTTAACGGATAATAGGCGGCTCCTTATCTGGTCGGTTTACTGATACCGACCAGCCACCGTCTCAATGAGAATGATTTGCAGGTGGTAGAGTGTTCATTAGGAGTGCTGTATTGATGCAGCACTGATCGGGCATTCGTGAGTTTCCGGATCCGCTCGCAGGGCCAGAAAGTCGTCGATGGCGATGAGCGCAGGCACATTAATTGCGTCCGTACCTCCAACCAATCCGCATTACTGTCGAACCTCTTTACACCTGAGACACAGCCAAATGTGTTTTGTAAACAGATGCGATACATATCGTGAGACAGACTCTGCATATTTCAACCTATTTTTCTATTGTGCGGATAATGAATAGTTTTTGAATAACATCACAAACATGTATAAGGATCTAATTCTATCCCCGACTCCCACGATAGTGGAGGAGGGTCTTTGTCGGATTCATACGTCTAATTTCTCTGTACCCGCTCTTGCAACCTTAATTCTAATCGCTTCTGCTATACAGTTTTCGGGAGCATCCGACTGATCTAGCGTGGACAGGTACCTGTTTCAGAAAGGTTTCACTTTGTGAACTTGAGATTTTCCCTATTTCAATGCTGTCTCGTGCCCCTTCTCGTGCTGTATCCCACCATCGCTTCCTAATCTAAATGGCATCCTTCCCTGGTCTGGCTGATTTTCTCCATTCGGCTCGGAGACTTCAACGTGGTCGCGCCGATGTCCTCGTTTTGCATGAGTCACGTGCTGGTACAGGTTGGTCTGTTCTGACCTTCACAACTTTCTTTATCTGACTAGCATACAGTCGAGGCACAGAGTAGGGGTTGTTGTCACCTTCATCTTGTATTGCCATACCAATCTCCCTATCAAGGCAAGGCTGGACATCCCATCTGTGCCATTCACGCATTCTGACTCTGTCCTCTCAGCTGCTTTGCCGAAACACTCGCAGGCCCTTATGTGTTCTTTCTGTGTTTCTTACATCTGATTGATATCTATCTAGTCTTGTAACACTTTTCCTGTCCGTTCATCTCGCTAAATTGATGTTCCCTGCTTGGCAAACACGTCCAAACCAGTCCAGACGACCGTCTGTCCTTGTACCAGTGTCGTCAAGGCTACAATCAGTTCTCTCAAAGAGTTTTTGCATGGACGTCAAACCTTGTTTCACTTTTTCTCTTGTGTGTTCTGATAGTGAGTTATCGGGTGCCAAAAATCACATGGACGTTCATGCCTTTAAAGCCTCTCACCCACGCTCTGGATTACCCGCTGTGATGTCCCAAGTTACTGCCTCTGACATTTTATTTCGAATTCTGCCCGATGTTATCAATGTCGATCCCGCCTGGTTTGCCTCGAGCAACGATCACCTCACAACATCACTCACGGATGTCCCTGCTTCTATCCTCATCGAAGCAGCCTGTCATCTGCCTCTCCCGTTTGTACCCAAAAGACGTGCTCACGAACCCGCGGTCACCGCTCTGTTGGCCCACTTTTCACATGTGCGAGGCCAGTTGAGTGCATTGGCTGACGATGATTTGTTTTCAATGTGTTTGCCAGCGGTGCAGCTTCCTTGTTCAACATATTCCAGATATACTGTGATCTGTTCTTATCTAGAGGTCTTATATGGCAGCGCTGTCTCTGCCGCTCTACGTTGGCTCCCCAGATTAATGATTGACAATCACAAACCAAAAACTGTAAACCGTAACTGTACCTTGAACCCTGCCAGTGACCTGTCTTCAACTGACATTGACGAAGCTATTTGTCTCCGCTGGATCCACCTACCGGCCAAAGAATTGATTACTTGCCTTTCTAAAATGAATTGAGTGAACCTGACAGATTGCATCCAGAGTCTCCCACTTTCGCTACGTCCATTCACGAAACGTCAGTCGCGACAAAAGTGCTGTGCGGCTCTCGTGCAAGTTATTCAAAGGTGGGCCTGGTACCTAGACTCTCTTGACGATCACTCGTTTCTTGTTGCAGTGTTGAGTGTCATTCCAGGTGTCCATCTGAGCACTCGTTTACGTATGATATCCGACGTCTTGGGTGTGGAATATTCACCCCTACTCATCGCGCAACTCCAGCAACCCCCTCTCACAGTCCGTCAGAAGCAACAGGATGCACACAGGTCTGTCAAAGAGAACTTGGCTGCACAGGCATTGAAAGCTCGCGCTGAAATTGCTTCCTGTTGGCCAACCGTTGTTCCTCGCACAGTCACTTTGGAGTGTCTACACAACTACAAGTGCGCGACATGTTGGCAACCAGGTTTGATCTGTGCAGTGTGTTCCTGTCGAACCCAGGATGCCAAGGTGTGTGACATTGCCCCTGATTGTCACAACGGTACACTGCCTATGCATCTCGACGTCCTCTTCCTGACTGATGTGTTTATTGTGCGCAATTGTGTAGTTCAGTGCGTGTCATCAGAGTTTGTTTATGACAGTCCATGGCTGAATGGTATCATGCTTGATAAAGCCGGTATTGTCACTCAGGCAGAACGCCACACGTCATTAAATGTTTGCAGGGATTGCCTATCATTTTTGAACCATGGCAAGGTTCCGCGTCTCGCTTTAGCCAACCGTCTTTATCGAGGTCAACTTCCTGACCAGTTCCGAGATCTCACATGGATTGAAGAAATGGTATGTGCGATTTATCGCAATACGGCTCATGTCACTTGTTTATATCAATCCACTGATGCTGGCCAGCTGTTCGTTCTGCATGGTAATACATGTGCACACGAAACAAACATTGTCTCTACAGTCACCGTCCTCCCTCGCACTCCCACAGATATCAATGGCATGCTGTCGGTCGTGTTTGTAGGTCCAAGAAAGCTGACCGACACGTCTCTGAAGACGCTGTTCCAGGTCCGCAAGAAATTGGTATGGGCATTCCTTATGTGGCTCTGTACGCACAATCGCTTATACCGCCATGTGCGTTTGGACAAGGAGTCATGAACCAGTACCCTGATGATGGTGCCGTGCCAGGCATTGCAGCTCGTGTGATTTATGATCACGAATCTGATGTCCGTACTGTTTGCGCAGAAGAGACCGCTGGTTTCTCTGAACATCCTGCAGACGCATTTGTAGAAAGCAGTTTAAGTGATAATGTGAACGAGAGTCCTGAAGTCTTACTGGAATCCATGGGGGTGTCTGATCCTGAGAGCTCTAAGGTATCTGGACGTGCATTCACTGCGGCCGCATTGTGTAATCTGATGCCAACTACATCTGACAAATCGACTCTCGTGTTGCGTAGGAGTTCTGAGGCTCAGTGCGAATACCACAACCCAGACCTCGTGCCGGGTATGTTTCCCACTTTGTTTCCGTTCGGTGTAGGAGGATTTGATGATGAAAGTCGTCCAACAGCCCTGGGTTTTCGCCGGCAAATCGAGTACATGCTGGATCTGGCTGATAAATCTTTTTGTTACCATCGTACCTATATGTTTGTCATGCTGAACGTATGGCAACGTCGTTTGGCCCACCTCCATACTCATTTTACTGTCCGTCGTGCGCATTTTGACACCTTGGCCAAGAATCTTGTCTCTATATCCCCAAGTACCCTCCGTCGAGTGGCTGAACATCTCCAAAAGAAAAATCATATTCCTCGCTGGCGAGCGCCGACTGTACTGCACTCAATCTCCTCAGCAAAGTCAACACTATCGCTGCCCGGATACCAGGATCACAATCAGCCAAAATTCACATTCACAACGAAATCCGGAGCTATTTTGGTTATTTTGGCGTCCCTCAGTTATACTTCATGTGTAATCCTAATGCTGCTCACAGCCCAACTTTTCAGGTGATGTATGGCGATGAGACTGTGGATCTCACTCAATGTTATCCTGTCTTGGTTTCAGCTCGTGAGCGTGCACTCCGCCTCGCTCGTGATCCAGTTGCTGCAGCTGATTTCTTTCAATTTTGTGTGAAAGCTCTGTTCGCGCATTTGTTCGGATGGGACTATGACGCCGCAATTTCCACACCTCAGGGCGGAATTCTGGGTCATCTGGAAGCTTTCTATGGAACCAGTGAGTTCACAGAACGAGGGAGTTTGCACGGACATTTCGTTATCTGGTTGTTAGGTGGTCTCAACCCTGCAGACCTACACAAACGGCTGAAGGATCCCCGTTATCAAGCCCAGTTCTTCGCGTATTTCAAGGACATCATCCATCACCATTTACCAGACATAGAGATGGATGTGGATCCTGCATTCGAACCTCGAACTCAAAGACCACCTCCACCTTTAGAGCTATCAGTGGACAGCGAGACACCCCAGTCCATTCTCGCCAAATGGGAGTCTGTCATGCCGTCGGGTGTGTCACAAGTACGGAAATGAAGATCAGTGTCGATTTCTCTTCCCTCATGAAGTTGTTGAGGCATTGTATTTTGATGCAGAGAGCAATTCTGTGGTACTCATGTGCAGAGACAGCATGGTCAACTACTTTAACCCATACATTCTCATTTTTTGTAGGCATAATCGTGATCTTAAGTCGATATTGTCTGGCAAAGCCGCGAAGGCTGCTATGTTTTACATCACGGACTACATCACCAAAATGGATTTGAAGACTCACGAATTGCTGTCCTTGATGTCCAGAGCAGTCTCACAAGTGTCCACCATTCCAGGTGAATCAGACCTTGCCTGTGCCAAAAAACTGCTCCACAAGTGTCTATCCCAGTTTGTACAACAGCAGCAAATTCACACTCAACAAGCCGCACAGTACATTCATGGGCTTGGAGATGATATTCCGTCGCACGAGACAATACCGATGCTTTCTGGCCTGATGGTTTCCTTTGTGAAGGAGGAATTCGTGTTGAAATTGGGCGTCACAGACAATGAAGAGGATACAGAGCAACTGTGCTTGCACGTGCAGACTAACCAAGCCGGCCAACTCATTGCCATGAATCAGATACACCATTACTGGTACAGAGCTGATTCACTCCAAGGCATGTGCTTTTATGACTTCTGCTGCTTTGTCCACCTGGAATCAAAAAGTAAGAGTGAGAAATTGAAGAATACAGCAGACACATGCCTAGGCATCCTTCAGAGGCATCCACTCAAGTCAGGCCATGATTTATATCTCACCCACTTGCTGCTGGAACACACAAATAGTGAGCGAGGTGAGGGTGTCCGATTGCTGGTGCCTCGTGTAGTAGGGATGAATGTCCCGCGGAAGAAGTCTGAGCTTGAATGGGCCCTCTTCACACTGACACATTTTAAAGCATTTAGTGTCTCTTGCCCATTGATCCCACCGGGACAGATGTTGCTCCAGGTTTATGAAGAATACAGGTTTGACCCCTTTGCCATGCATGTAATGAATAATTGGGAAGCAGTGCATGAGTGCGAGGACGAACACGATACTGATCAGCTATGGAAATGTGCAGCAGTAGCTGCCAATAGCAGGAGTATCACCTCATCGTTGATGAAGGATAGC